AAGGGACAAGTACCCAGGACACATTTCCCACTCAAACCAGCCGGACAAATGCCACCGGCGGCTTCTTCCAAACTGTCTTTGGCAGCCCAGCCTGTGGCCCTTTTCCTTTCACCTGCCAGGACCTATATTTCTATTTCTGTGTTTTCAAAGCCTAGAGAGGTGGAGAACCTGGAATAATTAATGATTGATTTTCAGGCACTGCCACCAGGAGGCCCCAGGGCAGGCTGTCGGCCATTTCCTGAGTGCGGGGACAGGGTTGAAATCCCATGTGGCTATGGAAGGATTGGGCAGAGGGTGGAGCGAAAACTGCCAGTGCCCTGAACACTCCTGCCCTCTGCAAAATGATGAAGTCGCGGCTGGAAGTTCTGCCGTGGGGCTGGCCTTCTGCCATTGACTCTCCCCCTCTCTGGGTCAACAAAAGTGAACTGCTTCCCTCACAGACACCCCTGCCCCACTGCTACCCCGTACCCACGCCTGCACCCACAGGCACGGGTTCACTGGCCCTTTCCTCTCCAAGGCTCATTTGGGAAAGGATTAAAGGAACCGAGTTCCATAGCAAAATTTTAGAGGCATTTTAACTTTGCCCTCCTTGGACGTATTTCTCTGCCTTTGTTGTCTAATAATAATTAACTTTTGTACAGAGGTGTAGTTTTCAAAGGGCTTTCACATTCATAATTTTATTCATCCTCACAACAAAGCTATGAGGTGGGTCTGACCCTCCCCAGCTCCCCGTCTGTACCCACAGCATACAGAATAGGAAACTGAGGTTGAGGCAGAAGAAATGGTCCCATTCTACACATTTAGGGCTGGAACATTCACCTCTGATGCAAAGTAGAGCGCTGCTGTTTTCTTCCTGAAGGGATGCACTTTAGTCCCAACAATGGTTCATTACGTAGGGGAAGTGGCATGGTGGCAAGTAAGCAAGGAGGATTGTTGGGGGCAGTGGTCTTCCCCTGAGGCTGGCCTCTGGGGAGTGTGTGCAGGAAAACCAGGGTACATAGGAGTAAGGGGAAGAGCTCATGGACCTACTGGAGTTCAACGCTATCAGTCACCTGAGTCAGCAGGTAGAATGACCCACCTGTGCAATCAACCACCCACTCAATAGTCAATTGAAACAGGGCAGCTTATAAAAGACCCCCAAACCATCCAACTCCCCAACTCTAATCAGCTAGGATAACCAATTCATCCTGATTTGCCCAGGAAAGTCCCAGTTTTAACTCATATCTAGGCAACACTCTTGGTTTCGTCCAGGGCAAACCAGAGAATTTTATCATCCTACCACAAGGCTAGTGCATTACAGCTGAGTACAGAAAAGAAAGAGCATCTTTTGAAGGCTCAGCAGACCAGCATAGAATTAAACAAATCACAGAATATTATGCAAATTCAAAAACCACTGTAGTTAGGCAATTACCTAGGATTGTTGGAATGTTAAACCTGAAAGAATGCTCATTTCTACAAAGAAACACTCAGATCTGTGGCCAGATCTCTTGCATTTTTAAAGGCAAGCCGGAGTTACTCTCGCATCTACTTCTGTATTTTGATATTGGCAATGAACTACATTGTCTCAAAAAAACACTGAGTTTAAAAAAAGTATAACTAGTTGCCAGTTGATAATACTGCCATGAAAACCTTATGGGCATCAAGCCTGAGAAGAAAAGGTGGCAAATGAGGTATTAGTTTTTAAAAGTGAGTTCTAAGGTCAGGCCAGGCATGGTGGCTCATGCCTGTGATCCCAGCACTTTGGGAGGCTGAGGCAGGTGGATCACCTGAGGTCTGGAGTTCGAGACCAGTCTGGCCAACATGGTGAAACCCCGTCTCTACCAAAAATATAAAAAATTAGCCAGGCATGGTGATACACACCTGTAGCCCCAGATACTTGGGAGGCTGAGGCAGGAGAATCGCTTGAACCCAGGAGGTGGAGGTTGCAGTGAGCCGAGATCATGCCACCGCACTCCAACCTGGGTGACAGAGTGAGACTATGTCTAGAAGAAAAAAAAAAAAAGAGTTCTAAAAGTCCCATTGAAAGTCTATTAGTCACAGTGCAAATTTATTTTAAAATTTCAAATATCATCAAAGGAAGTTATATGATTTTTATTCTTATGATTTATTCATGGATTTTAAGTTTGAGAAAATACTGTCATAAAAGATGATTTTAAAAATATATGTATTTCAAGCCTTTTGTTTTGCAGATGAGGAGACTGATGCCAAAGAGACAGAGTTAAGATACCAGTTAATGACATTTCCTTGGCCTTGGTCTCAGAGAATTAGGAAATACCAAGGAACCCAGGCCTGATTTCTGATTCTCATTAGAAGCAGGGCCAGTCCAGTAGGCCTGTGTTTATCCCTGCAGCAGGAGTTCACTGCATTCTCACTGCCTGCTGGTCCTGGATCTCCTCTGCTGAGTCTTCTGGTCATCTGCTATGTCACCTGCAGTCTGGAGAAGAGGTATTGTCAAGGTGTGGAGCGTGTTTTTGCCTGAGGAGTAACCTTGAACAGTGCACATTGCTTTTACCTTAAAATGAAATTTGAAAGATAAGCTTGTAAATGGGACAGGAATGTTCTGATAACTTGCTGGATTTGTCCTCTAAGGAATTTTGCCCAAAAAGGGGATGGGAAAGGGAGAGAGTTCATTGCTTGGGCAGAAAAGATGTGCATAGGCAGGAATGACTGCCTGAGAGTCAATGGATATTGGTACCTATCAGACCCTTAGATTGGGTAGAACCTCTAAGGTTGTCAGAACTGTTTGAAATGAGGGCCTATCAGATTCACCCTGGAGCATTGCTTCCCTGGTGGGAGGGAATCCTGGGTGGACAAAGAGAGTTTCTGCTGTGGCTGCCACACTCCACACCTCCCCTGCAGCAGAAGGACACAAGCCAGGGCAGCAAACTGGCCCATGGGGTCCGTAGGACCTATGCCAAGATCCATTTCCATCCCAGCACCCTTGGATTGTCTCTCTCTGGGAGACAATCTTCTTCTGCCAGAGAAGTTGGGGATCTGGACCTTTGAAAACCACAGAGCAATTTAAAATTACAATTTTAGAGAAACATTTAAAACGATGAAGCACCAACTATTTTTGTTTAGAGCCACTCTTCGCAAATGTGGAGGAAACATTTAGGGACACACACCTTCTTCTCTCCCTTTTCATAAGATGATTCATTTCTCCTAAATAGAGAGATGAGAAAGACTGGGTGGAAGGAGGCTGTGGATTGACATGAAAGACAAAACTTTTTTTTAATTCAGAAAAATAGTTCATGTGTTTTCACACACATGTACATATATGCATACACACACACACACACACACACACACACACATCCAATCCCCCTGAATATCCCAGTTTCCCCTGCCCCTTCCTTGCCCCCTCTCACTGACTCCGTAGCCTCCTGTCCCAGAACAACCCCACCAGGCCTGCAGAGCCATCTCTGAAAAGGGCATGGCTGTCCTCTAGACTGTAATCCTGAGTCCAGAGGTCTGGTCAAAGATTGGGGGAACATCCACGCCTTGACCCCTAGGCCTGCCAGTGTTCCAGGACATTTGCTCACTCATACCCACTCACAATCTTATATGCACCCCGACTCCCTGACAGAGAGAACTACAAGGAAGAAGGGGGCAGCTTTTGCCATCACTAAGATAAAGAGGTACCAGGCAGCTCTGCTTGGTCCCAGGGCTCGCCAGCCTCGCCATCATTCCCACCAATGAGACCCTTTCTTAACCACACCCAGGCCCCCATATTGCTGAGGCTGTTGATTCCTACAGACCAGACCAGAGGTCAGCTCACTCCTGTTCCTTTCTAAGGCCTTTCCAAGCAGAGATGAAGTCTAGGGCCTCAGTGCCCTTCCCCTGAACTCTTCTTCCAAGTTCAAAATCCTCAAGGAGCAAGAAAGAGGGCAGGTGGCTGCGTGTGTGTTCCAGAGGAGAGAGGCGAGGAGTTGCTGTGGAATGGGTTATGTGACAATGTTGTTAGTCTAACAATGCAAGGGTGTGGACGCTGTCTGTGTAGAACAGAAGGAATGGCTTCAGGTGCTGCTCAGGGTTCTTCTCTGGAAGAGGTCATAGCTGTGGTGAGAAGGTAATAGCATCTTGCCCACAGCCCTGAAAGCAGGCTCTACCTCAAGCATCAGGCACAAAACAGAAGTTCCCTCCTTCCTTTTACAAAAGAAAAGGCTGCTTCCTGGTGAGCAAACCAGGGGTGACAGGGGGCAAGAAGGGCACCCTACAGAGACCATTCCTCTTACTTCTGGTGGTCAGTGACCCAGGAGGACCCAGAGAGCCTCATCCTCAGGCTCCTAGGCCTCGGTTCCCCACTCCTCCAATATTTCCAGGCCTGCTCAGTTAGGGCTCAGCTGCCTCCCTCTTCCCTCCGCTGGAAACAGAAGCTCCCAGCGAATGTTTCTAACTCCTGAGTCCACTCAGCCATGTCCCCCTTGCAAAATCCTCCCCTTCCCGCACCCCCCTGCACCCAGCCAGCCAATCCGCGGCCTGCGAGCCTCGCCAGACCCATCTCCCAGGGCCTCAGCGGGATAAAACCGGTTGGCGATGCCGGGTGGATGGGAACAAACTTCAGAAGGAGGAGAGACACGGGGCCCAGGGCACCCTCACGGGCGGACCCAGGCAGTGAGGGCCTGCAGCCGGCCGGCCAGGTATGTCACCCAGGGGTTAGCTGGAAGCTGGCTGGTAGTGAGGACGGGGAGATGGAAGAAGGGAGAGGGTCCCAGGAAGCCTGGCAGCCTTTTCCCTCCCAAGTTAAACGGGATAAGACTGGGACAGCGGAGGGAGTGGGCACGCAGGTTGGAGTCTGGAGCTTCAGCGCACCCTCAATCCTTGATCCTCCCGGGAAGCCTGTTAGCTAGGCCGGGCTGAGGTTGGCCCTCCTTCGCCTAAAAATCCTCCTACTCCTGGCAGACGATGCAGGTTGTAAAGGATAAGGCCTGGGGAGGGGGCCTGAGGATGCAGGCATCGAATCTCATCGCATCTCATGCCCTTCTCCTGGGTTTGTGCAGGGCAGCGGCAGGCGCGGCCCGGACCTGCGTGAGTAAGCCCAGAGCCCTCGGCGGGCTGCGAGCGACTCCCCGGCGATGCCTCACAACTCCATCAGATCTGGTAAGAACGCGGTGTGGTCAGGACCCCCAACCCCCGCGCAGCTGAGCGTCCGTGCGTGCACTCGGGTCGCTGGATCTCGGGAGCGTATGCACGGGATTCTCGGGACCCACCCGCGTGGGGACCCAGCTGGGGGCGCCTGGGGCCTGGCCCTCCGCTGGAGCCGCCTCGCTGTTCTCGGGCACTGGGGTTCCACTCGGCCAGCTGAGCCGCCCTCCCCCGGTCTTGGTTTCGAGGGACCACACGGAACGGTGAGGGGATCTCTGTGGAGTTAGAGGGGGTTTCCTTTGAGCTCCATTCCCAGTCTTGCATGGCGCATTAGGGTGGACATTCTTCTTGCTCTGTCCCTGGGCTGCACCGGTGCTGGACTGGCCGTTTCTCCGTCCCCGACCTCTGAGCCCTCTTCCTCGGGTGCGCGCAGTCCTTCCCAGTGACTCCCCTGGCTGGACTCTGAGCTCCCCGCATCTCTCAAGCTAAAGGGAATAGAGCCAGTGGTCCCGGGCCTGGGAGCCGACAGCGCACTCAGGTGCTCTCCGACTCCTCCTGGCCCAGCACTGGGCAGGCAGGGAGCCGCGCGCGGGGCGTCCGGCTGGTGAGGACTAAGCTGCTCGCGGAGTCGAAACCCCCTCCCCACCTGCGCCCGGGAACAGGGCCTTCAAAACCACTCGAGCTCCCAGGCCGCGATGCCTGTTTTCCCCCTTCCCAGCCAGGGCTGGGCAGGGTCTTTGCTGGGAAGGAGCTCCAGGGTCGGGGCTGGTGGGTGCAGCCGTCCCCGCGCGCAGCGAGTGCGGACAGCTGCGGAGGCGCAGCGCGGCCCGCGGTGATGGATGGAGCCTGGCCGGCCGCAGAGAAGGCGATTTATGGGGCCAGGGCGCATCACTATCGATTTGGGCCGGCGAAGTGAGAGGAAATCAATATTTCAGAATGAATTCTCCGCGAATATGAAGTCCCGCTCGACAAACGGGACATTTGTTATAATAAGGAGGGTCGGATCGGGCGCGGAGCGCGGCTGAGATCTCTATTTAGCCAAGCGCACGGCGGGGCCCGGGTTGTGCGGCGCAGTCTCCAGTCCCAGGGCCAAGGCTCGACTAGGAGGGGAGCGGGAACCCTCTGGGGCGCCGAAAGATTTTTTACTTGGGTTCTCTCTAGAGCTGCAGACGAAGTCAGCAGAATGCTCCCTCCCTGCCCCCATTCCCCTCAGAGAGCTGGGCCAGAATAGTCCGGCTGCCCCCAGAAGGCGCGGGGTCCCTTCAGGGGCCTCAGGGTAGAGACCTCGCAGCCATTCCCCTGCTCAGCGAGGTTGGCGAGACCTGGGACTGAGCAGAGCTGCCTGGCACCTCTTTACGGTCCGCGCCCTGGAACCGCGAGCGCTCCTAGGCCACTTTCTAAGGTCAGGATCAGGTTTTAGCCCCTTAGTCTTTAGCCAAACCGTGGTACAATACCACACATCGCCAGGACCATCCTCGAGGCCGAATGTGCAGTGCCCGATGCCCGATCCCATGCCAGGCTGGTCCGTGGCACTCTGCTCGGCTCTGGAGGTCCATCTGTCCTCCTGACCTTCCCCTGACCCTTCCGGCGGTGGCAGGAGGAGTGGATGCTCTCGGAAGTCAAATTTACCGGGCAGGGCTGGACCCTTACTCTCTGTCGCTGCCCAAGAAATGAGACGATGTCCCCGTCCCTCAGATGAGCTTTTTTTTTTTTTCTTTTTTTCCGGCTACTTATTTTCATTCTAGAAGTACTCGTTAGAATAAATGGGAATAGAGTATGGAAAGAAAAAAAAGGCACAATTTATTTTTACTGTAGTTTTAATCAGTATCAGTCCCAAATGATGAGATGCGCGCTTTCCCATTAGCTCGGATGCAAATCGCGCTTGGGTTTTGGGAGGGACCCCTCTGCCCCTGGACCTACCAGGTAATTTTTTCCCCTGTCTTCTTTTCAGAAAGACAGAGGGGCTTCTACCTTCTTTCCAAAACAAATAAACAACGCGGTGAGGGAGGATGAGACTTTCTTCTTTGGTTTAATTTAAATGCTAATAAAACAAGAAAACAGCCTGTAACAGCACAGACTGTTGAAGGCGCTCCCTGTTCTTTTCCGAACCCTCCCTTTGGCAAACCTGAGGGAGAGGCCCTCCGTCTTTCTTATCAGTTTACCTGACACTGTTGTCTACAATTGCAGCTAAATTCATAAGCGGACACCTCTTGTTTTTACAAGCCCATTTTCTCTCAGGTTTTAGCAGCTTCCCCCTTTTCCCCAGGCACCTCCATTTCTGAGTTCGGCAGTGCTTAGGGAGCTCCCCTGTAAGTTTTCTTTGGGCAGAGCCCGGGACGCAGGCAGCCACACGGCTTTTCGCGGGAGCGAGGCCGAGCGCACCCTTCCCAATAACCCGAGACGCTCAAGAAAAGTTTCCTGCGCGGCCTTCGCCGCCCAGCCTGCCACGGCTCACTCTCGCCTCGTCGCTGACTGGTCTTGCCTTGCAGAGAGTCTTAACATTGTCTTTCCAACAGATTTATTCTGAAGGAATGTTGAACGCGAATCATTCTAATGTGCGCAGGTCAGCGATGGGCTGAACGTTCCTTAAAATCGTTATTTTTGTTGCATCAGGGACGAAATTCTCTAAAGCAAAAACATTTTTAAAAAAAATCCAAAGATGCAGAAGAAATGATAAATGCCCCAGTGAGAACAATACTGCACCAGCGAGGAAGAGAGTTTTGTAAAACCAAGTAGGCTGTCATTAAAAGTTGTCTTAAATAACTTGTCGCAGCCCACTCCCACTGGTCCTGAAAATAGTTCATTCAAGTGGTAAAATTAGACAAGGCAGAGGACGATGTCTCTAACTTCCCTGATCTGAGATCTAAAGCCCCATTCCTTCTTCTTGGTTTTAGAATTGAGGAAAGGGGAATAAATGCATTTGGAAAGGATCTGTTTTCTTCCCAGGTTTCCTGCCTGGGTTGAAAATAAGGTTTCAGGGAAGGGAAGCAGCTTTGAGGAACATAAAGAGGTATTAGGGTTCATCAATTCATCTTTGTTTCAAGATGGTCTATTCCCCCCCCCCACCCTCCTCAATGCAAGTTAATTAGGAGATAATTTAGCTACCTTGTGAATTAGTTTTAAGATAAGTATCTTTTTAAGCTTTGTCACTTTAATTGCCCCACTGATTGATAAGAAGTAATTATTTCTAATTGACACTTTTTTGATGTCTATTGGAAGCATTTATTTGGAACTTTTTGGGGGTAGAAGGAAAGTTAATTAATGTTATCAGTCTACCCCCAAAAGGACTCTGCTTAATTTTGTTGAAGAAGACAAAGGAAGTGAAAGAAACCAAATAAAAAATCAATCTCATGGAATTTTAATTATTAAGGGACACTGTGGTTCAAATTAGAGGGCATCTACTAATATAATATGTCAAAAGGTTCTATTTATGGCCTCAAATCTCTAATTTATTGAGATGCATTTTATAGGTATTCATTTTCCTATGGATACACTCAAAGGCCCTTTATATGCTGCCTTCATTTTGGAGCAGGTTCCTCTGCTGTGTAAATAATTTTTGTGAAAAGTAAAATCTGTCGACCTTGGTATGCCCAGAAAAAATGAAATCATTTTTGTAGGAGCCAATTGTAAGAAAGATTTACTAATAGTCATCCTTGTTCTGTAATTATTGATGGAGTTGGGTATAAAGGTGAAACTTTACTTACAGCGACATGCCTTTTCATACCTAAACTTTGGAGTAAACAGTTTAATCATTCACATTCTCCAGAACATTTTGCTGTGAGAGAGAAAGGAGTGAAAGAATAAAGAGAAAAAGAAAGACACTGAAAGGAGGCGATGGGGGTGGAGAGGAAAGAAAGGGAGAAGGTAGCTGGAGAGAATAAAATGAAAGCATTTATTTCAGAAATGAAGATAGCCAGGTGCGTGGAACCTTTGCCATTCAGTATAAGAACATCGAAATCCTGCTTTAAAAACACATTTTTGTTAACACCAAATCTCTATCACAGTCTCTAAGCAACCCCTAACCACCATGGGATGTCCCTACTTTTCTACACATTTTTTTAAAAGGCAGAATTTTAGGAAGCTGGCAGATCCGGATCTTGGATATCTGCCTGTCAAAGTCTTTATTTGGGGTGCATGAAAAGGAAGCAAGAAAACACACATTGTGCTCTGGGATTTATAAAGAGATTCAAGTGTTGTTTATATTTATTTTGTTATTAAAGCCCCTGTGATCCTCATCTCTATTTTGTATGCACAATCTTTTCATAGCTCAACTTGTGACTTACTGATATAGGAAAGCATTCCCACATTAACCCAAAGGAGACACATACACACATGCACACACACGCACGCCTGGAATGAGAGAAATACAATCACACAGGACGCGTTCCTATCAGGTTGATTTCAGCTAGTGCCTTTTTCAATCACTTATTATAAAATCTTGTCTGCTGTTATTGATGTTTCTCCCAGATTATGGGGAGCTGCAAGAATGAGGAAATACTTTAAATGAAAAATAAATTTAAGACGTACAAACATCAGATAATATCACATACCAACCTCACTATTAGTGAAATTGAAAGAATATATAAATAATGCAAAAAAAAATCAGCAAGGGAGAGTTTAGTAATGGAAAATTCCCCTGCAATTAAAGGAAACGTTAATTTAGTGAAGATATGCCTGAATGAATTACCATTTATTAATTGGTTCTCATAAAAACAATTTGTGTGTGTGACTTGGGGAGGGGGATGTTTAAAGTATATATTGTCCATAGATAAAGCTCCTCAAATATTCATATCAAATTATGTCGTTATCACATTCTATTTTGTGAAAAATCCCAAGTCTCTCACTGGCAAGTTTCACCTGTATGCAGAGAGCTTAAATGCATAGGAAAGGAGTCCCATCCAGATCAGAAAGAATAAAACCGGTTCCCGCTTCTCTTGGTACATTTCCAAATCTGAAACGAATGAGGAACACACTGGCAGAGTCTTCTATGCTTAGGAACATCCAAACCGGGCCCC